ATGTCAGATCTGTCACTGGCAGTGGGAGCCGTCAGACTGCTCAATAGCTGAGCGCAGTGAAAGCAAAGCAAGGAGTGTGTGCTGTGCTCTCTGCCTCCCCCTAGAGTGCAGTACCCAGATCTGTGAGTGAACAACGAAGTACTGCAACTTTTTATGGGGGGGAGGGTGGTGGTGTGTGTGTGTATGTGTACATGTGTGTATGTGTGTACGTGTACATGTGTGTTTGTGTGTGTCTGTGTATGCATGTACAATTGTACATGTGTCTGTGTGTATGTACATGTGTGTACAATAATTAAACAGTACATGTGTCTGCGTGTTTGTACATGTATGTGTGTGTGTACATGTGTCTGTGTGTGTATGTACATGTGTTTGTGTGTATGTACATACATGTGTCTGTGTATGTATGTATGTACATGTGTCTGTGTGTGTGTATTTCTGTGTATGTACATGTATCTGTGTGTATGCATGTCTGTACGTGCCTGTGTGTGTATACATGTGTTTGTATGTGTGTGTGTGTACGTGTCTCTGTGCGTGTGTGTACATGTTTCTGTGTGTGTATGTACATGTCTGTGTGTGTGTGTGTGTACGTGTCTCTGTGCGTGTGTGTACATGTTTCTGTGTGTGTATGTACATGTCTGTGTGTGTGTGTACAGGTGTCTTGTTTGTGTGTGTTTGTTGGTGGTGAGTAACTCAAAGGCCTGGCTAGTAGCTCAGGACTTGAAATTTTAAGCCCAGTCCTACCACATACCACAATGGACAATAATTAAATAATATAATAATATAATACCCCTACTCATTCACCAAAAAAAAGAGTCAAAAGTAAATAAAAACACAATCACATTTTTTTGAGCACTTTATGAAATAAGTAACATAAACATGTCCCCCAAAGTATATCCATCGTCCTGGATTGGGTGGGACTTTCCTGCATTTTCACCTTTGTCCCCCGATCCCGGTGTACAGGGGCTTTGTCCCACATCACTCGATCTATTCTTTGTATGCTAACTTCCAGCCGAGCAGGACCTGCAGCAGTGTGAACATTTAGCCCAGCCAGGGATTGGCGGGCAAGCCAGTGGGTCTTGCAGCTGCATTGAGAGAGAGCGTGCAGCTGTCAACTCCAACCTGTGATGTCAGGATGGGCGGGGCTGATATACGTTTCAAGGGCTCCTCCCCCTTTGTCAAACAAGCACTGCATAGACAAACAGCTGGCATTTATACAGGGAAGACAGTGACAAAGGGCAGGACCAGGGGCGGACTGACCATTTGAAAACTTGGGCACTGCCCTAGGGCCCGGGGTCAGTAGGGGGCCCCATGAGATGCCCCTGGTACCTTTTTTATAGGCTTTTGGGTTTGGGCAAGGACACGGGGGCCCCATGATCCCCTATTGCCCAGGGGGTCAGTAGGGGGCCCCATGAGGTGCCCCTGGTACCTTTTTCATAGGCTTTTTTGAGTTTGGGCAAGGACACAGTGGGCCCCATGATCTCCTATTGCCCGGGGGGCCCCATGAGTTGTCAGTCCGCCCCTGGGAGGACCAACTGACAACCACTGGTACAGGCCAACTTTTTTTTTTCTTTTTTTTTGAATAGTGACTCCAGTTGGGCATTAATATGTATGTATAGCCCCTGTTGCCCTACCTCAAGGTAGCAGGGCGCCCCTATTGTCAGCAAGCCTCTACCAGTTTACGGTCTGTATAATATTGGGAGAAATTTAACTTCCTGTCCTAGAAGTGCAAAAAGGAAGAAATCTCTGTAAAATAAGTTTTTTTGGCTATACAAACACTTTGATAAGGAAGACACAAAAAAATTATGCAAAAGGATGCAAAATATTTTTCATTAGATGACTAAACTATCTTCCATAAAGGAACGGTATTGTGGTGATCTCAACATTCCGAAGGATAATGTCAGCCGGCGAATCCATATTTAACGTGCAGTTTCAGATGCAGCATTTTTCTAAAAGGCATGTTTACAGTCAATATTACCTTTTATGTGTAGATCTGGAGATAAGGCTACGTGAACCGTGTCTGCAATATTTCCTGCATTGTTTAGGTTTCCAAAGAAATGTTTTGCAGAAACTTGCTTTAAGACGTGTATATCTGTATATCTAACGTCAAAACCATTTTTTTATTATTTTGCATGAGGTGATTGTAGATGTATTAGTGCACTTGTGACAGAAACAATTGAGTATTGTCAGTGATACATGTTTTATTTGCACTAACATACAATTTTCTGGAATTTCGGGGTATGTCCCCTTCTTCAAGGTCCGAGCAGTACTAATCACAAAGTTTTAGCAAAATGTAAAAGAAACAATCTCTAAGGGGGATGGGGGGGAACAAGAAAAAAAAAGAACAGAAAGAAACACACACAAACAAATGTTCACGGCAATGGTTATAAAATTAGGATTAGACTAGAGATAAGACCATTTGGAAACTCGGGCACTGCCCGAGGGCCCAGGGTCAGTAGGGGGCTCCATGAGATGCCCCTGGTACCTTTTTCATAGGCTTTTTTGAGTTTTAGCAAGGACACAAGGGCCCCATGATCCCCTATTGCCCGGGGGCCCCATGAGTTGTCAGTCTGCCCCTAGATAAGACAGAGCAAAAGCAAAGACTGGGGGGGGGAAGGGGGACAACACTCACAGAGGGGGTCATAGAACTGTTGGATAATGAGTGAGGAATCCCATGTCCAAATTAAGGCCGTTATCTTTTGTATCAAATAGAAATATCTTTCTAATGCCCCGTACACACGATGAGAATATCGGACGAATGATCAGCTGTTTTTTTTCATCTGCTAGTCTCACATTGAAAGTGAAGAGGTTACTAAAGATACGAAAATACTCCTATGAAAGAAAAGAATTTCGAAAGTGATGTCATGTATTGCATTGTATTTGTATTATATTTTCAGACGACTACTGTACTGATTAACCTCCTCGGCGGTCTGATTATTTCAGATTTTTGGTGCTGAAAGCAGTACCATTATTTTGCATGGAAATATGTAGTTTTTTTATTGTAGGCCTGTAATTTTTAGGAATAACTCACTGAAATCTGTCCAAACAAGAGTCTAGTAAACATCCCGGGTAGGATAAAATTTGAAACACGAAATCATAAAATTATAATTTAATAAATAATCCTAAAAAATAATAATATAATAATAATACATTTAATTCAATAATATAATCAAACCAAAAACACTGAAATTTGAAATATAGCGCCAAGTTCGCACATCACTGAGTAAAGTCGCAAAATCGTTTTCAGTGTCTGATGAGGAATTTCCCCCACGAATCATTATCACTCAATTCTGCAAGTGGTTCTGATTTACTATCGCTGTTCTCTAGCTGATCTAAACCCGCTTTTGACCTAAAGGGACGCTTTTTGGACGCCATGGACGTTTCTCAGTTTCCAGGCAGAAAGAACAGTCAAAATGCAGGCAGGGCACAGGACAAAGCACTCGGGACAAAATTTATGTGAAATGGTTTGAAACAGCAATGTTTTACTATGTAAAATTCGTTTTGAAAAAAATTACATTATTTTAAAATTTTCAAATTTCCCGCCGGCGGCGGCGCCCGTACGCCCGACATCACAGGGACCGGAACACAGAAACACGGATGCCGGCATCAGCCGGAGGAGATGGCCGGGGACGCTGCAGGGGACACATCGCGGGAGCGAAGGACAAGGTAAGTGCTGCAGGGACTCCCTATGCAGCGCCACATGGTAAGCCCGAGAGTGTAGCTCGGGGGTTACCGCTTTTGGTACAGAAATTTTACCCCGAGCTACACTCGGGAATACCGCCAGGGAGGTTAAACGAAAATCGTACGATCTGGTATCGTCGTACGAGAAACATTTTTGCGCTTGTCCATTCAGATATTGTCGTACGAATTGTCGTGATCGGCTCTCAAAAGCTGTGTACTAACGATCCGATTATCGGATGATCGTTCCTTGTACGAAAATTTTGGTACGATTTTCTTATAGTGTGTACGAGGCATTAGGCTCCATGTACACTGCAGCTGATAAACTCACGTTTAGGAGCTTTTCTGCATTTGTTTTCAGCAGCCCCTGAACTCTCCCTAATGTATTCCTATGTGTCCATGTACACTTTGTCGTTTACAGGCAGTTGAGTTTACAGTCCTTTTTTTTAATGCACCAAACTTGCGTTCAGTAGTAGATTATATCAGCGTTTAAAAAAAATGTACATATTCTTTGTTTTGAAAGTTGATTTTGTGATGTAACTGTTCGTTTTGTAAAACTTGTGATATCCTTTGTTTTTGATGGTTGTTGTACTTTTGTTGATGAACCTGTGGAAAAAAAGGAAAAATGTTTGTGAAAATTTTTTTTGATACATTTTTAATAAAAGAATTAAAAAAAAAAAAGTAGATTATATCAGCGTTTAAAACACCAAATGCTTGTAGACGCGTGTAAACGCAGCTACCTGTGTTTGTAAGCATTTGCATTTTGGAATTTTTTCAACTCTTCCATTTCCAAATGCTGTCCAGAGCCTTCCAGGGGCTCAGTTAAAATTTTTTCATCATGAAAAATGCATGCAAAGCGTTTTCCCGGTACTCAAATGGACCCGGTACTCCATATTTTGAGGTTTCGCATGAAAGAAAATATGTTAGACACCGATGCAATAATTTCTGCAGAGAAATGAGCTGGAACACATCCAAACACCACAAAAAAAACCAAAAAGAGCTAATCTCAACAAATACTGCTTTCTCTGCTTCTGCTCAGGGCCCGCCTCTCTCAGCCCTGACTATTCCTCTCAAAATGTCTGAAATAGTTATTTTTTTTACTGTTTTTTGTAGAATCCCTGTATAGTAACATCCCTCACAAGGTTGGATGTTTAGCTGCATGTCACAGATCCTATATCGTTTTGTGTGTTCCTCACCAAACCATAAATACACTGCTGAGGGTGTTACACAGATCATTGAATTCACCATACTTACAACTACTTTACTTTCAATAATGACATCTATCTTCAATGTATGGGTACAAAAAGTATGTACCCAAAAGAGACTACTGTGTCCGCAGTAACACAAACCTCTTTACCAAAATGAGTGAATATAACGCATAAAAACTATGACAGTGTAGTCGCTATCCCTAAGCTAATTAAATATATGCCCATACCACTAACTAATTCAAAATATATTTAGTGTTATATAAATACCACTAAAGTGCAAATCTCAGATCTGGTCATCCCCTGTACTGTGTCCGCAGTCTCTGGTCATCTCCTGTACTGTGTCCGCAGTCTCTGGTCATCTCCTGTACTGTGTCCGCAGTCTCTGGTCATTCCCTGTACTGTGTCCGCAGTCTCTGGTCATCCACTGTACTGTGTCCGCAGTCTCTGGTCATCCCGAGTACTGTGTCCCGCAGTCTCTGGTCATCCCCTGTACTGTGTCCGCAGTCTCTGGTCATCTCCTGTACTGTGTCCGCAGTCTCTGGTCATCAGTCCTGTACTGTGTCCGCAATCTCTGGTCATCTCCTGTACTGTGTCCGCAGTCTCTGGTCATCCACTGTACTGTGTCCGCAGTCTCTTGTCATCCCGAGTACTGTGTCCGCAGTCTCTGGTCATCCCGAGTACTGTGTCCGCAGTCTCTGGTCATCCCCTGTACTGTGTCCGCAGTCTCTGGTCATCCCCTGTACTGTGTCTGCAGTCTCTGGTCATCCCCTGTACTGTGTCCGCAGTCTCTGGTCATCCCCCGTACTGTGTCCGCAGTCTCTGGTCATCTCCTGTACTGTGTCCGCAGTCTCTGGTCATTCCCTGTACTGTGTCCGCAGTCATCCATAGTGATTAGTATGTAGAATCCCTGTATAGTAACATCCCTCACAAGGTTGGATTAGCTGCATGTCACAGATCCTTATCATCCTCACCAAACCATAAATACACTGCTGAGGGTGTTACACAGATCATTGAATTCATACTTACAACTACTTTACTTTCAATAATGACATCTATCTTCAATGTATGGGTACTGCTATGGGATGTAAAATGGCACCCCAATATGCCAATTTATTTATGGCTGACCTGGAGGAAAAATTCCTGAACAGCATGCAACAAAAACCATACAGATATCGCTATATTGATGATTTTTTTTTTGTCATCTGTGTCCCTTTAGGCCTCTTTAGGCACACCACTGCTTGCAAATGCTCAGTTTTCTGGCGTAAAGGCTTTTTTTTCCTGATCTAAATGCAGACCATTGTTTTACAAGGTGCTTGTACACACAAGCATGCACTGCATATACTGTAGATTAGTAAAAAAACAGAAGTCTGAGTTGCCAGGCACTATTTTTAGGTGTATATGCGCAAACGCGCACAGATAAGTGCATTTGCCACACTTCCTTCAGTAAATTAAAGCTAGAAGAATTTTTATGCTTGCGTGTGCAAGCCATTTGGAAACGCGGGCATTGCCCGAGGGCCCGGGGTCAGTAGGGGGCCCCATGAGATGCCCCTGGTACCTTTTTCATAGGCTTTTTTGAGTTTGGGCAAGGACACAGGGGCCCCATGATCCCCTATTGCCCGGGGGGCCCCATGAGTTGTCAGTCCGCCCCTGGTGTGCATACTCACCAATACACGTGAATATGAGCAAATATGCGCAAGTGATATACAGCCCATCCTAATGTTTTTCTGCATAGAATGTCTGATGCTCATACATCTGTACTGTGTGGAAGATGCCTTAGAGAGATTTCCTTTCATTTCCTGTTCTGTACATGCAACAAGCTGTGAGAGGACATCTCCCCAAAGTGAGGGAAATCCCCTGTTAGGGTATCTTCCTGTTCTATTTCAAATGTCGCTTTATGCATTGACATACCTTCATAGACCCGGTCTGTCCAGACAGTATGGTCACCTGTTGACTTGGCACCATCCTCAGGCAGCTTCACTCTTCAATAAGACACAGAAGTTGAAAAAACGGGCAGACTCGATGGATCACTTGGTCTTTTTCTGCCATCACTTTTCTATGTTTCTGTGAATCCAACACAATTTTATTTCAGCTAATTGCAGTACAGTGGATGTTTTTTCCAGTTTAAAAAAACAATGGAGTTGATTTACTAAAATCTGGTGCAACTGTGCATAGAAACCAATCAGCTTCCAGTTCTGGTTGTCAAAGCCTAATTGAACAAGCTGAAGTTAGAAGCTGATTAGCTACCATGCACAGCTGCACCAGATTTTGCACTCTCCATTTTTTTGTAAATTAACCCCATTGACTTTTTTGAGCCCCGTCTTCGCAAAGTACTAACATTGACTGAAAAAAACAAAAAACACCACTCCATGTTGGTTCCCGCTTCCAGTACCATACACACACTAAATTCCAGGTGCTGACCCTATCCGCAGCAGACTCCAATATACAAACATCTGATGGCCGCACATCAAGTAAAATCACCTTTATTTCTTCTTATAGCATATTCCACAAATATGACAGGAATTCAGGACTCCAGCTAACACGTTTCACGCTCTACCAGTGCTTAGTCATAGCTCCAAGATACACTGTCACATACAGATATATACAGTGCTCAGCATAAATGAGTACACCCCAACAGATTTGTCAGAAAACCTTTACTTTTCTTTCAGAATCAACATTTTCTATGGGACACTCTACTACAAAATAGTCCCACAAATGCGGGCCATTGATTGCAAACACGATTTGTTAATTTGCACACACAAAAAAGTATTTTTTCTAAGAAATTCATTCAAGACCATGTTGCATAAATGCATACACCCCAATGAAAGTCTTAGGAGCAAAGCTACATTTTAGACAACAAAATCGTAATTAAGACATCAACTACAGGTGAGTCTACTTATTCATTAACCCCTTGCCTACCGGGCACTTATACCCCCTTCCTTACCAGGCCAATTTTCAGCTTTCAGCGCTGCCGCACTTTGATTGACAATTGCGCGGTCATGCAACATTGTACCCATATGAAATTTTGATCATTTTTTTCTCACAAATAGAGCTTTCTTTTGGTGGTATTTAATCGCCACTGGGCGCTTTACTTTTTGCGCTATAAATAAAAAAAGTGCAAAAAATTTGAAAAAAAAAATTTTTTTTTCTTTGTTTCTATTATAAAATTTTTCAAACAGGTATTTTTTCTCCTTCACTGATGTGCGTTGATGAGGCAGCACTGATGGGCACTGATAGGCGGCACTGATGGGCACTGATAGGCAGCACTAAAGGGCACTGATAGGCAGTACTAATGAGGTGGCACGGATAGGCGGCACTGATAGACAGCACTAATGAGGTGTCACGGATAGGCGGCACTAATATGCAGCACTGATAGGCGGCACTGATAGGTGACACTGATGATGGGTACTGATAGATGGCACTGACTGGCATCACTGCTGGGCACTGACTGGCGGCACTGACTGGCACAACCCCTGGGCACTGACTGGTGGCACTGACTGGCAGCACTGCTGGGCTGCACTGGTGGGTGGCACTGGTGGGCAGCACTGGTGGGTGGGCACAGGTGGGTGGCACAGGTGGGTGGCACTGGTGGGCACAGGTGGGTGGGCACAGGTGGGTGGCACTGCTGGGCACATGTAGGTGGCACTTCTGGGCACAGGTAGGTGGCACTGCAGAGTGTCACAGGTGGGTGCACTGCTGGGCACAGGTGGGTGATCTGCTGGGCACAGGTGGGCGGAGCTAGTGGGCGCACTGCTGGGCACAGGTGGGCGGAACTTGCGGGTGGCAGTGCTGGGCACCGATCATCAAGGCACTGATCATCAGTGCCCTGATGATCGGTGCCGATCCCCGCTCTGACAACTGCCGGTTCTCGGCAGTACTTTCCTCACGATCTGACAGTGTGAGGAAAGTGCAGCCGAGAACCGGCACTTGCATTTTCCTGTGATCAGCATGTCATTGGACACCGCTGATCACGTGGTAAAAGGCCGCTGGGATCGGCCTTTTACCACATCACGTGATCAGCTGTGTCCGTAGGACACAGCGATCACGGAGATCGCCGGGTGCGCGCCCCAGAGAGCGCGTTCTGGGGGGACGACATATGACGTCCACCCAGAACTGGCCGGCCGCAGTGAAGCTGTCATTCGGCTATCTGCGGTCGGCAACTAGTTAAACAGGTGTCCAGCAGACAGTGGATTATAAAAGGGCCTGAGAAATAAAATAATTTATTTATACAGGAGAGGTGAAGCCTGCAAACAGATCAGCAAAGCTTTACTTATCAGTCAGAATACTGTAGCAAAAGTGATACAAAAATGGCAAAGATGGAACTGCAACCATCTCACAGAGACGTCCAGGCCACCCACAGAAGTTAACACCTCGACGGGAGCATCTTCTGATGAGAAGGGTTGAAGAAAATCGCCATGCAAGTTCACTGCAGTTAGCTAAAGAAGTAGAAAGCCAAACTGGGGTGATTGTTTTCCATGACACAATATGGCGTACACTGCAGAGGAATGGCATGCATGGGTGTCAACCACAAAGGAAGTCTCTCCTGAAGCCCATGCACAAAACAGCTCACCTAGGATTTGCCAGGGCCCATGCTGAAAAAAAAAAAAAGACTAAAGGGACTTAGGATACAAAATGCTGGTATAGGGTTCCAGCAATGTTACATAAAAGCTATCCGGACGCCAAGAATTCCTGTAAGAGTAGCTGTAAAGAAGCAGATGATACTTTTCTCTATGTTTTCTGGGCTTGCAAAAAATTTGAAAGGTTCTGGGCCAGAGTATGAGAAATGATCAAGAAGCTGACAGAACAGGGCTTGGAGCTAGATGGGCAGTATAGGCATAAGGCCAGGCATGACTGGGTTTGCAGGACAGGATGGAGTAACACAGGGTTAAAAAAAAAAATTAGTCAGCTTTGTTTAAAAGTTTGAGTATCCCGTTTGATTGGAGGAACAAGGGCAGGGATGGTGCGAGGTAGGGTGGGGCCCTGGAAGGGAAAAAGGGGTGGAGCATTTTCCTTAGGGTCAGTCGGAGCTGTTACAGCAGAGAACGAACTTCTCCCTCCGTCCTGGTGATCAAATATCATCAATGGAAAGCTCTATTTCTGTGAAAAAAGGACGTAAATTTTGTTTGGTTATAGCATTGCATGACCGCGCAATTATCAGTTGAAACAGTGCAGTGCTGAATAGCAAAAAAAGGGCTGGTCAGGAAGGGGGGTAAATCCTCAAGAGGACAAGTGGTTAACCATGACCTTTCCTTTTCAATCTGCAGAGCTGTAATGTTCTGCAAAATGCAATACAATATGGCTTCCTGGCAGGGCTTTTTTCTCAGAAAATAGGCACAGGAACTCCCCCCTTCTGAGTCACTTCTTTTTCCTCCCCCCTACCCACCTCTGAGCACCGTTCCTTGGTTCCACCCCCTACCCACCTCTGAGCACCATTCCTTGGTTCCACCCCCTACCCACCTCTGAGCACCGTTCCTTGGTTCCATCCCCTACCCACCTCTGAGCACCGTTCCTTGGTTCCACCCCCTACCCACCTCTGAGCACCGTTCCTTGGTTCCACCCCCTACCCACCTC